GGGGGGGGGGGGGGGGGGGGGGGGGGCAGGATCGTACTCTGATGACTCTTACCGAGGGCAAAACACAGAAACATAAATACACTCACACAGTGGTCCCTCCTCCTTATCTTTGAATGGAATGAGGACCTTTGCCTGCACACAGATATGATAACAGATGATAAGACTGTAAAGCCAAACAGATTCTAATACGACGGCTGAAACCGGATCCCCCCCGCTCCTTTACATCAGATGTCATTACATGAACTGCACTCTGAGCAGAAAAGCTGACAAACAGCAGGTTTTCTTTGGAAAACAACAAACATAATCTAATTTGCACCAATGCAGCCCATATCATGACACTAACACCTCCATGTGAAGGGCAGTCCAGCGAATTTTTAAAACTTTTTAAACATTGCTGTTCAAGGCCGCGTCCTCTATAGGAAGTCTATTAATCATTTTCAGTAATTACGGCATAAAAAAGATCAGCTCAGTCTGATGAGAGGTTAGAATAAACCTAAGGGGGGCAGGAAACTGGAACTGGCCTCTATGTGTCCAGAACCAAGGCTCCTCCTGTGAGCTGTGGAGCAAACAAGTTCACACTGGTAAATAATCACTTCACCATTCACTGCATTGAAAAAAATAAGAATAAAAAACTCATTAGCTATGTTGTCCAACTCTCTCAACTCCAGGTCTTTTTACATTAAATGATGTTTTGCAGCTCGCAGCACTGAGCTGAGTAATGATCAGAATAATAGCTGCAGCATTCCACCATCTGTCTGAGCTTAACCCCGGCAGAAGGTGTTGATTCGCCCTCACATAATATGCACGGCAAACAACAGCTAAGATGTAAACATATTCAAAACTTCCTCAGCTCACAATAGTTCCAATAAATCTCCATTTACCATACCTATTACAGAGAGACAACATCGGATTTTCAGGGCCAAAAATGGAATTATAGAAACAAAATTGAGAACATATGTGATTTCATATTAGTCTAACTCCATGTAAGTGGTTATGCAATGACTGGTTATAGCCCATGTTATACAAGGAGTTACTGCATTCTTATGAAAAAGAATTACCTACGCGAATGATGCAAGTCCTCACAAAGATGGAATTTCATGTAGAATTAATGTGACCAACTGAAAATGTTCTGGCAGTGATGCGTAAGGGGGGCCGTAACCTGACGTAATGCCGCTAATCAGAGCTGGTTTTCCTCCTAAAACGATTCCACAGGCAGTGGGATTGCTCCACAGAGTGGACGCAGGCATGATATCACCTCCTAGGAAACTAAACTCCTCCTCTCTCATTCACATACAGTCACTCAATTAATCCTTTCTACATACAATGGGAAAAAAATAACCAAATATTTAAAATATTTCATAAATCTCTCAAACTAAGATGAACTTCAAGATGTTTTTATGCTAATGTGAACTGGGCTTTCATCTATGAGGAAAACTGTGGGTACGAAAACATCGAGAGAATTCAAATGCTGTAAATGCATGTAAATGCATGTTGGTACGTTTCCTCTGCTGCTACCCCTTCATTAGCTGCATCTGAACCAGGACCTTTCCTTATCCATTACCCTTGGCTCCCTTCCTGAGTTTTCTGAGTAAAGATGTGCTGACAAGTTTAATGAAATAGTCAAATATCTCATTTCTAGTGTGCGGGATTGTTCTACTTTCAACTGTGCGTCCAACACAAGTATTAGGTTGTAAAATAAGCACATCCTCGCATGACGCCTCTACGCAGTGTGATGAGTTTGTTAGACTTGGACATCTTTTCCTAC